GTGCTGGGCGTGGACCCTGGGGGGATCCATGTGCTGGAGGTCACCACGGGGACCGTGGTGGGTGCACTGGATGAGGTGGGGTTGGTGGTGGCCGTCGGGGTCCTCAGGGAGGCAGAGGGACTGGGGCTGGAGACCCTCTCTGTGGTCCTGGCAGGGGTAGCAAGCGTCTGGGTGGTGGAGACAGGGAACTCCTGGGTGGTCCCAGGGGAGGAGGCGTGGGTCTGGCCAGATGCTGTGGTTGGCGACGTGGGGCCCCCAGTGCTGGGGCAGTGTGGGGTTGGGTGGCAGCAGAACACACGGACGTTGTAGTTGAAGCACATGTTGAAAGGCCCCTTCTGGTCCTGGTTCTTGCACACCAGCCCCACGTGCAGGTTGCAGCTCAGCACCTGTCCGATCTGGTCGATGCTGACCTCAGGGTAGTTCTCTGCGCGGCACTCGATCTTCTGGGGCTCCTCGCACAGCATGCCCCCGGCAGCCCTGATGTTGTCAAAGGTCTCCAGGTCCCCACCCTCGACCCCTGAGGTTGGGAAGTCCACGTCAAACCAGTCTGTCCACTCGCACTGGGGCCGACATCCTGTTGTGCCCTGCGTGGTGGTTCTCAGGGCTTGCAGCGATGTCCTTGCTGTGGTCGTGCGTGTCTCTCTGGGTGGGGTGGACGGGGGGCTGGTGGCCACAGTGCCTGTTGTGGCTCCCATCACTGTGGAAGTCATGTGGATAGGTAGGGTGTCCTTGGAGGGGCCCCCTGTGGTTCTCTGCACGGTGGTCTGCGTCCATGGCCCGGTGGTGGGCTCCGTGCAGTGGTCATGGCTGCAGCAGAGCACGCGGATCCTGTAGTTGTAGCACATCCTGAACAGGCCCACCTGCTCCTCGTTCCTGCACACCAGGCCGAAGCTGGCGTCACAGAGCACACGCTGGCCCAGCTCTGCAGGGCTCCTGCCGGGGAAGTTCTCAGCCTGGCACTCTATGTCCAGAGGCTGCTCGCACATGGCCCCTCCCGCGCTCCTGATCTTGTCGTACGACTCGATGTCCCCCCCAGCCTCCTCAGACTTGGGGTAGTCCTCGTCGAACCACTCCGTCCACTGACACCGGGGCCGGCAGGAGGTTGTGGTCAAGGCCGGGGAGCTGCTTGGCGCCAGGCTTCCTGTCGTGGTGGGCTCTGCCGGCGGGGTCTGTGTGGCGGGGGTGGACAGGGACCTGGCCGGTGGCTGCCAGGTGGTGGCCCCAGGGGAGGTGCCGCAGGGCAGGTAGTCACAGCAGAGGACCCGCAGCTCATAGTTGTGACAGAGCGGGGGGTTCTGCTCTCTGTTGAGGCAGGTCAGCCCCTGAGCCACATCACACTTCACCTTCTGGCCCAGCTGCTGCAGCGGGGTGTCGGGGAGCTTCTGTGCCCGGCACTCGATGCTCGCCGGGGCCAGGCACACCTGGTAGCCCCTCTGCCTCAGGTCCACAAATGTCTCGAAGTCCCCACCTGCCATGCCAGGCTCTGGGGGGCCGCCGTCGAACCAGTCGGACCAGAGGCAGAGCTCATGCACACACACGGTGGAGACGGTGGGGACTGAGCCTGGGGGCGGAGGGCGGGGACCTCATCAGCGTGCTCTGCACCCCTGCCAGCCATGCCCAGGATCAGCGGTGACCTGGGGCCGTCGGTCGTGGGTCGCGCCGAGGACACCCACTCTGACCTCCTCCCGCTCCGCCCAGACTGTTGCCTGGGGTTGGGGCTCAGGAGGAAGGGGCAGGACCAGCAGGGCGTCTGTCAGGCTCACCTGTCGAGGAGAGCGGGGCCACGGTGGTGGTGAAGGTGAAGGGCGGGGTTATGGTTGGGGTTCCAGGACATTCCACAGCCCTGCGCAGGATCGTCCCATTGTGTCCGCAGGTGGCTACCAAGCAGGCGCCGAGCCCGTCGGTTGTGTTGTAGATGACGTCCTCGTAATGGTAGGTCCTGCCGTTGTAGACGCAGGTGCAGGCTGGGAGACAGGGCCGGCACAGGGCTCACTTGCAGCCCCCAGACCCCAGCCCCCAGCCCTGTGTGGCGCCCCTCAGCCTTACCTGCAAGGCTGTGCGTGCACCGGAGGCCGCCAGCACTGCATTCACTGGGGAGGAGAAGAGGAGAGCGCTGAGGCCTGCTGGCCGCACCAGCACCCCTCCCAGGTGCCCCAGCCCACTCACCGCCCGCCCACTCACCAGCTCTGGCAGTTCTCTGCCGTGGGGACCCTCGTACCCACATCGTGGTAGTTCCCGTCCTCATCATAGCACCCGCACTGGGCCACGCACTTCATCTGGGCCTCACTGAAGAACGGCTCGCTGGGCGGGCACTTCGGGTAGCAGCCTGGGTGGGCACAGCACGGAGGAGACTCACCCTCGTGGCCAGGTGCTGGGTGCTGCCCGGGGTGGTCACCCCACCACCTGTGCCCTTCCCTGCCCCTCACCTTCCAGGCCCGGCAGGTCATGCAGACAGCGGCCGCTCGGGTTCCGGCAGGTCCTCATGCAGGGCGCCCCGCACGGCTGGTAGTGCCACTCACACCGGCCCTCGGGGTTGTAGTAGTCACAGAACACGGCTAAGCGCAGAGGGGAGAGGCTGAGCGTGCACCCCTTGCTTCCTGCCCCGCCCTCAGAAGGCCGGTCCCTCACAGGCCCTCCTGTCCGGCGGCGGCCTGCCTGGCCGGTCCGTAAGCACACAGACGTGGGCACGCCCGTGGGCACCTGGGCGCCAGGGGTCTCTTGCTCACCATGTGTGGGTCAGGCCCCACCCCTGCATCTGCCCTTCCCCACCGCGGCAGAGCCCCACTCACGGCAGATGTCCGGGGTCCGCCAGGACACGCACACGCCCATGTCGTGGCAGGCCTGGGCGTAGGCGGCCACCGCCGTGCAGAAACACTCACAATCACCCCCCGAGTCACAGGCGCACGCGTCACCCACACAGGCCTCGTAGTACTTGGTGGGGTCGACCTTGGGGGGAGGGGGAAGAGCCTTCGGATTCGGGGTCTGGGGCTCTTGGGGGTCAGGCCTGCAGTATGGCCCAACCTGGGCCGGTTCCCCCCAGAGCCGGGGACAGCAGACGCGTGGGCCCCCGGGGCTGACCACAGGCTGGTCTAAAGGGTGGACGGTGACGCGGGCCCCCCGACTTCTGCCCGCCCCTTCCTTCCGGGCGCCCCGGGGAACGGCCGCATACGTGGGCGTGGCAGGTGGCGAAGGTGGCGCTGTTGATGATACTGCACTGCTTCTGGGCCCAGGACTTGCGGTACGGGTTGGCGGTGCAGGGGTCCCTGGGGGCCGGGGCGTCGGGGCAGGATGGGGAGAACTTCCAGCTGTTGCCGAACTCCAGGGCGCTGCTCACCACGGACTGGCTCCGCGTGGTGAAGTCATTGACGGCGTTGTCGTCAAAGTTCCCACACAGCCCGCAGACCCGGCCCTGCAGTCCAGGGACGGCAGCACGGGGGGCTCAGGGTGTGTGCAGGAGTGGCCAGAGCCCAGCCCAGCCCGGCAGGGGGCACTCCAGGGCAGTGCCCTATGAACTTGCAGGACAGGGCACACAGTGGGCCCTATGGTCAGCAGGCAGGCAAGTGGGCAGGTGAGCAGTGGGCAGGCAGGCAGGTGGACATGTCAGGGGACAGGCAGGTAGGTGGACGGGTGAACAAGGGGCAGGCAGGCAGGTGGACGGGTGAACAGGGGCAGGTAGGCAGCTGGACAGGTGAACAGGGGGCAGGCAGGCAGGTGGACGGGTGAACAAGGGGCAGGCAGGCAGGTGGACGGGTGAACAGGGGGCAGGTAGGCAGGTGGACGGGTGAACAGGGGGCAGGCAGGCAGGTGGACAGGTGCAGGGGACAGGCAGGCAGGTGGACAGGTGAGCAGGGGACAGGCAGGCAGGTGGACGGGTGAGCAGGGGACAGGCAGGCAGGTGGACAGGTGAGCAGCGGGCAGGCAGGCAGGTGGGCAGATGGGGGAGTGGACAGGCGGGCAAGCAGGCCCAGTGGGCATGGGGACACCAGGGAGCAAGAACAGTGTTCTAAGCAGGACTCTGCCTATTGGTCAGTTTGGTCTCAACACAGCCCTTTCAGAAGTTGGCGTTGTGAGTGGACTCGCCCCGGCCCTCAGTGGAGTGTCAGCTGCCCGACGGGCCCCTGGGAGCCGGAGCTAGGAGTAGGGGCTCTGACCCTGCCTGAAGGGGTCCGCGGCCCGCCTGTTCTCACCTTGTAGTCCTGCTGCAGTCGGATGAACAGGCTTGTCTTCCGGTCCCAGGACAGCACCAGACCACTGTGAGTCTCCACGGTCAGGTAGATGCCCATGTATCGGACCTTATAGGGCAGGTCCCCGCCTGGGCCCCGCTGCACCACCTTGTAGGTGCCCTCATGCAAGACCAGCTCATAGTTCTGCAGAGGGCACACGGAGGTAGTGGCTGCAGGGACTAGAGGGGCCAGCTTGGGGGCCAGAGCCCACTGACCTATGGTAGTCAGGGGCCCAAGGCACAGGACTGGGGTCAAGGATGAGCTGGCTCCTGACACTGTCAGCGAACAGGAGGCCAGAGGCCAAGCAGGGTGTGCTGGGAGCCCGGGGAGGTCACGTGGAAGGTTGGGGCCACAGGCCAGTGGGGCTGATGCCCCCAGGCAACAGTGTGGCTCCCTGCCTGGTGAATTCTGACGTCCCTCTGCTGGAATTGGGTACCCCACTGTGGTGGGCTGAATGCAGGCCCCCCAAAAGGTGTGTCCACATCCCAGCCCCTAGAACCTGTGAATGCGACCTTGTTTGGAAAAAAGGTCTCTGCAGGGGTCAGTGAGGGATGAGCTCCTCCCGAATTAGGGTGGGCCTCAGTCCAAACACAGGTGTCCCTGTGACAGGAGAGAGGGGACGGGCCTGCAGGGGAGGGGCCGATGGAGCGCCGGGGCTGGGGGAGGCAGGAGGGAGCCCCCCTGGAAGCTGGCGGGGGGCGGCTCGGCCCTGGGACACCTGCTGCTCAGAACTGAGAGAGAATGCATTTCTCTGGCTTCAGGTCCCCCTGTGGCCATCTGTCCAGGCGGCCCCAGGACATCCAGCCAGAGGGCAGAGGGAGGGACAGGGCTCCTGGTGACCCCTCACCTCCAGGAACAGCTTGATGGCCTTGGAGCAAGTGACGCCCGTGGTCCCGCAGGGGACGTTCTCGGTGACCACGCGGAAGGTGCCATTGGCGGTGCCGTTGCCCTCACAGTAGTCCTGGGTCAGGGAGGGTCAGGCTGAGCTCAGGGCTGCGGGAGCGGCGGGCCGAGGAGGGAAGCGCGGAGGGGGCCCCCGCGTACCTGGGCCAGCGTGTACTCACAGCTCCCCTCGAAGCTGTACCGCTCCCCATCGAAGGTGATGAAGTGGCCGTCCCCGTAGGCCACGCAGGTGCCCAGGCAGGGCTTGCGGCCACACTCCCACCTGCGGTTCCTGCACGTGCTGTGAGGACAGGGGACAGCCTGCTTTTGCCCGCTGCCCGGGACCAGCCCCGCCCCGCCTCACAGCCACACTCTCCAGAGGGCTGAGTGAAGGGGTGAGCGCGGGCACTGGCCCGCCGCCTGCCCATCTCTGGCTTCCAGGCTCTTGGTGCCTGCGGTGAGGCGGGGCTGGGGGCCCTGGCGGCAGCTCTGAAGGCCTGGCCCTGGGGGACCTTCCGAGGACAGAGGGGACCGTCCAGGGCTTCTCCAGGGCTGGGGGCAATGCCAGGCCCCAGCTGCCCCCTGCCTCCCTCCCTCCCGTGCAGGAAGCCCCAACTCACCAGGTGTTACAGTCAACCCTGATGGTGTCCCCGGGCTTGTAGGTGGCCTCATTGTGCAGACAGGGGCAGTCCTCCGCGGCCACGCAGCCCCCGCTCCCGTCCGACACCAGCCCCGGGGGGCAGACGCAGCCAGACACGCAGTGGGTGCTGAACTGTGGGCGGGCACGGCGTCAGTGCTCGTCACCCCCGTGCCCGGGACACTGGGGGGCAGCACGCCCTCCCCGGCCACTCACACAGTCCACGTCCAGTGTGTGGCAGCTCCTGAGACACTCGGCCCCGGGCATGCCCGCCGAGGCGTTGTTGCAGTCCAGGTACACCATGGGGGCCGCACACCCTGCAGAGGGAGGCAGCTGGGCTGGGAGGGGCCCCAGCCCAGGCCCACGGAAGCCCCTGCCCCCCGGGGGCGGGTGGGAGGCCCTACCTGAGCTCTTCTGCTCTGCCGCTCCCAGGCAACTCAGCTTCCCACCCGCACACGAGCTGTGAGAGACAGAGCACCCTGCCTGGGCCCACGGCCCACCCACCACCCCGCAGACCCCACCCAGAGCTCTGCCCAGAGCCCAACACACACACCCTCCTGGGCGCCGGACCCTCGGAACCCTCTCCCCGGCCAGGGGAGGGGTCCCTCCTTACTGCACGGCTGGGGGGTGGGAGCCCCCTCCCCAGGGAGCCCCTCTGTGTTTCACAATCCTCCAGGGAGGCCCAGGGATCTTTCGGTGTGACACGGGGGGTGAGACTGTTGCAGGCCCAGGACGGGGGGCGGGGGGTCACGGGCCCAGCTGGCTGCTCACCAGACCACGCCGTTGTCATGCACCACGTCCCCCGGAGCCACCACAGAGCCACGGAAGTAGCAGGGGCAGGCGTCGGCGGACACACAGGAGTCCGAGTCGTCCAGGAAGGTACCCGAGGGGCAGATGCATCCGTCCACCGGCACGAAGGAGATGCCGCAGGTGACGTCCACCTGGCTCAGAGCGCGGCAGGAGGGCTGGCAGCCGTGTGCCACATAGCTGTAGTGCTGAGACTTGGGGCAGCTACTCACATACTTGGCTGGGGGCAGGGGCAGCGCTCCAGTCAGTGGCTGGAGGGCCCCTCCAGGCTGAGGCTCACACAGCCCGAGACTCAGTTTCCCCTCTGACACCAGGTCCTTGGCTGGCCCAGACGAGGAAGCGTGAAGCTCTGGCTGAGAACGTGGGAGTGGGGGTCCCCAGCCCCCCTGCCCCTCCCCCAGTGCCACCAGGCTGGCCAGGGACACTCACTGCACACGCCGTCCCTCCAGCCGCTGAGCAGCACCCCCTTGGCGGCGCAGGCGTGCACGTAGGAGGACAGGGCCGCGCACAGACAGTCCTCGCTCTTCTCACAGTTACACGTGTCGAACATGCAGTTCTGGGGACGGGGCCGCGGGGAGCCGTCAGGGACCCCAGCCCGCTGAGGCCCCGCCTCTCCCCGTGCGTCCTTCCTGGGACCCCCGCCCAGGCTGGCCGTGCCACCGCAAGCAGGGCCCTCGGCACCCACAGATTGGTGGAGGCCCCCAGGAGGGGCAGCTTGTGCCCTAAGTGACCGCACAGGCCAGGTCGGGGAGGAGGCGGCAAGGAAGCATGAGGCCGGGCTAAGGTCAGGGTCAGCAGGGGCCTCTGCGGGACCAGGGCCAGGTCCGACTGCATTCCACAGACATCACCGCTTGTGCTGCCTGTGGGGAGCACATGAGGTGAAGAGGGTGGAGCTGTGCCACCCCCAACATGGGCAGAGGTGGGCCGGGGCTTGCACCTATAGACACACACTCCTGGGGGTGCATTCGTGTGCACTGTAGGCCTTTGAGCTTCTGGAAAAGTGGCCTACGAGCCAACTGTTTGTGGGTTGGGTTGGTCCCCCCAAAAGATATGCAGAAGCCATAACCTCCAGGGCCTAAGAAAATGACCTTATTGGAAATAGGGTCTTTGCAGATGTGATTAAGATAAGGTCATCGGGATGGGCCCTGAATTTGGACACACACAGGGGAGGGGCACGGAGGCAGAGGCTGGGGTAATGTGGCCACAAGGCCAGGGGTACCTGGGGCCTCGAGAGGCTGGGAGACGCAGGAGGGCCTGTAGCCATAGGAGGGAGCGTGGCCCTGCCCACCCCTTGCTTGTGGACTTCTGTCCTCCAGGACTGGGACCAGAAGCAATTTCTCTAGTTTTTAGCGACCTGGTTTGTGCTCCTCGGTGACACCAACAGCCACACCCACGGTGGCCCAAGGGAGGACTGCCTGACCCGCGCACGTGCTGTGGTTGAGCCAGGGAAGCAGCGGGGAGCTGGGGGTCTCACCGAGTAGAAGGGCTCGGGGTTGAGGACAGAGTGGCAGCGGGAGAAGGCTCCGGCCGGGTCAGTCAGCAGGGAGCACCAGTGCTGGGCGTAGTTCTCTGGGACAGGGAAGGCAAGCTGGCTGGCTGGCCGCCACCTGCACCGCTCCTCCCCCACGCCTGCCTGCCCCGGCAGCCTCGGCTCCTGCACCCAGGCCCCCCGGGCCCCTACCGCCCCGGGAGAGCTGAGCTGGAATGTGGGGCTGACCCATCACGCTAGTGGGACAGCAGGGTGCTCGCCCCAGAGACGGGCCCCAGGCCCTGCTGCCGGCATGCACGCATGCATCCCGGATATCGGGGTCCCCCAGCCCCACCCACCCCAGGGCCTGGTGAGATGGGAAGCTTCAGCTCCTAGGCCCGGCCCAGGTAAACGGAGGGCTCCCAGGGGTGGGAGTACCGTTCTCCACACTGAGGGAGCAGGGGTCCTCGAAGCTGTTCTTGACGTTGGGGCACGCGGCCTGGGTCTTCCAGGTGTTGGCGAAGGCGGCGGCCGTGCCCTCCACCACGCCGCTGAGGGTCCGGAAGTCATCGGCCTGGTTCTGGTTGAAGTTCCCGCACAGGCCTGGGGGCCGGGGCCCAGGGATGGAGCATTAGTGGGGCGTCCAGCCTGGCCCTGCAGTCCCTCTAGAAACCATCACAAGGAGACCAGCCAGAGAGATCCATCCCAGGATTTTGGTTCCAGAGCCATCTGCAGATAAGCCCTGGTAGGGGTCAGCCCCTGTGCAAAGCCTGCCCAGTAAGGACAGCGTGGCTCACTGTCCCCCTGCCACCCCAGGTCACCTCCCGGGGGCCGCAGGTCAGATGCAGGGTGCCCTGGGAGCAGCTCCCTCCCAATTCCCACTTCCTGCCAGACTCTAATGCATCCCGCTTGCTGCTAAGTCCAGGGACCAGCGGCCCCTGAGCCCACGCAGCCGGCCTCACCGCACATCTGTCCGTGGTAGGAGGGCTCCAGCCTGAGGAACAGCTGCATGAGTGGTACCAGCTGCACCTGCAGCTGCAGCCCGAGGCCCGTGTGCACCAGGATGAAGAAGGAGGTGGGCCTGAAGATCGTGATATTGGCTGCAGGGATGGGGACCAAGTCAGAGTCTGGCCCGACAGAACTGCCGTGCTCCTGGGGACAGCCCGGGGGGCCGGCCGGGTCTTCTGGGGATGGGCTGGGAGGAGACAGGTGTCTGGTGGGCCCTGGGAGTGGGCAGTGCTGGGAGTGACAGGTCCTGGTGCCCAGGAGGCTGGGCACCGAGCGTGCTCCACACCAGGTCCCCACAGATCGGACCAAACCCGCTTGCAGACAGCAAACCAACCACGGGATATTCCAGAACTGCCCCAGGCCGTGAGGAACTAGCAAGGGACCTCGCTGGCTGTGTGCAGGCTCTGGGGGGCAGGCCACCTCGCCGCAGCCTGGCGCAGCCGTCCTGAGCCCATACCTGCTGACATAGGCAGCTGGGTGTAGATGGAGTTCAGGAACACTCCGCCGTTGGCCTGGATCTGGATGATCTGGGGAGGGGAAGCAGCCAGGTCGGTGGGGGGAGGAGCCCGCCTGCGGGGGGGGGGGGCCAGGGAGCGGTCCCCAGGGGCCAGCCCGGCAGAGCCGGGTGCGGAGCTCTGGCCTCCAGCCTCCAGCTCCGTGGGACCCTTAGGACCAGGGGCCGGGCTGGGGGCTGTGGCATTCAAGGAGGGCCGGGGTCCGCGTCCTCGGGGCCTGTGTGTCTTGCCAGCTTCCCTGTGTCCACCCCTCCCCTGCTGGAGCCTCACCGTGTCCCCGCCGTTCATGCTGAGCGCCACTGATTTGAGGCAGTTCTCGTTGTCCGTCAGGCCACACTTGCGCAGCTCGGCCAGCACGCTGAATCTGTTCCCTGCACACGTCTGACGGGGCGAAGCCACCAGCGCATTGGGGGACAGCCGCTCCCCAGCACAGGCAGGGTGGCCTGTTCCCAGCATTGCCCATGTCGGTGCAGATGGATGGTGGCTCACCGTGGCCTGGGGCGCCAGCGGCCACCTCCAGGCAGCTTGTCTCAGGACCTGGGAGCCCCTGGCCCCGTGAGTGTGAGCCCAGGGGCTTCCCTTTGGGGATGGGACCCCAGGAGAAGATCCAGGGGGCCTCACCCCCTCTGATGGCCATCATGGGACCCTGCTCAGGGGCAGAGGGGGCCCGAGAGTGCCCGGACAGGCCCGCAAAGCCCACCGGGGCCGTACCTTGGACAGGACATAGCTGCAGTCTCCGTGCACGTCGTAGAGCCTCTCGTCATAGGTGGAGATGTGGGACCCGCCCTGGACAGAGCAGGTGCCAGGGCACGGAAGGTTCCGGCACTGCCACAGCCCCGCGGAGCAGGTGCTGGGAAGGGAGGCCGTGAGCAGAGGGGGCGTGATGTGCAGGAGGCAGACCCCATCCCATGCACCCCACCCCCCAGGGCGGGGCAGCCGGGAGGCCTACCAGGCGCTGCAGATGGTGGTGAAGGAGGCCCCCGGGGCATAGGTATGACCGCCATGGGTGCAGGGGCACTGTTCCAGGGGCAGGCAGCCCCTGTGGGTGACGTCATCCAGCACCGTGCCTGGGGACAGCAGGGGGGTCATAAGTGGGCCGGGGCGGGTGTTGGAACCTCAGTGACCGGGGGCAGCCAGAGGGAGTGGGGGCCAATCCCCGAGGGCCAGGAGGACCTGCCTGGGGGGCAGAAGCAGCCGTCCATGCAGTGGTCCTCGCAGAGCTGGGAGCGCTGGGGGTTGGAGCAGGTGTCTGCGCAGGGCGAGCCGCACTCGCGGTGCTGCATGTTGAGGGGGCAGGTCTGGGCTGCAGGGGGGAGGCAGCACTTGGGCCCCAGGAAGCCGCCCAGGCGTGGGGTGCACAGGCAGGCCACCTCTGCTCCCAGCCTTCCACGTGCCATCAGGGGTCCCCCAAAGCCACAGCCGGGCTCAGGGAGCCCCTCGCCTTGGGAAGCTGGGCCCCGCCTGTCCTGGCCCCCAGCTGTCTTCTGGGTGAGGCGGCAGGTGAGGGAGCCTGGGGTGCAACGCCTCCCGGACAGCCCCCCTGGGCCCGCCTGGCTTCTGGGGTGAGCTCAGCTCGCGGCACCCAGGCCGGGTCCTCCCTCTGAGCCCCCCAGGTCCCCTTTCTGTTCTCCTGGCCACCCTCCCTACTGACCATCCAGGGCCCCCAGCCAGATGCCAGGTGTCCTGCCCAGGGGTCTTGTCCCCCCCGCTCCCCAGGGACCGACCCGGAGGGGGTGTAGGGCCTGGGGCTGGCCCTGGCCAGGGGCCACTCACGGCAGAGGCCCGGGGCCCTCCAGTTCTGGGGCTGTCCCCCCGCGTGGGCGCACTGGCGGGAGTACTCCGCAAAGGTGGCGCAAGGGCAGGTGGGGCAGCGACACAGGTCCTGGGTGCAGGCGGCCACATACGCGGCAGGGTCCACCAGCTTGTGGCACCCCGCAAAGGCCCGGCCGAACAGGGTGCGGCGGCAGATGCCCTCCTGGGGAGCACAGAAGACTGGCACCGTCCACCCTCGGTGCCTGTGGGGGGACCCTGGGCCCCGCAGACTTTTCCAGGCCAGGGACCCCCTTCCCCCCCTTGAGGTTCTTTTCATCCCTCCATCCGTCTGTCCTCTGTCCCTCTACCCACCATTACCCATCACCTATCATCCCTCCATCCGCCCATGCCTCTGTCCGCCCAGCCAGACGGCCAGCCGTCCACCCTCCCTTCCTTCCCCTCAACCACCGTGGACTTGCCACCACTGGGTGCAGACTTCTGCTTGGCTCTGGGGACTGAGCCACGACTGTGGACTCCACCGACCCCCCAGGGCTCCACGACGCACCTGCGCATGGTGTGAGCCCCCAGGAAAGGTGCCCCCCACCCCCAGAGGCCAGTCAGAGAAGGAGGAGGCCCTCAGGCAGCCCCAGCAGAGCCAAAGCCAGCCCACCGATGAACCCTTCCTCCTTCCCCGGCACCCCTCCCCCTGCCCCCAACCAGCTGGGGGTGGACTGCAGCTCCACATCCTGATTTAAGGCTCATGGATAGATTCTAGAAGTGAGGTCCTCCCAGCTCCCTTGTGGGGCTCCTTCACCTGGGCTCCCAAGTGCCCCACCACGGGCAGGACTGTGTGTCCAGAGTGGTGGCCATGTCCTCTGCCACCGAGGGCTAGGAGACCCTCTCTCCCTGGACACCCCAGGTCCCGGCCCAGGAAGCCTGAGCCCGCCCTCCTGGCTGCCCCCCTGCCCGGGGAGGGGGAGCTCACCCCGTCTGTGCAGTTGCTGCCCGGGGAAGGCAGGGGGTCCCGGCACTGCTCTGTGGGCCCGTCCAGCTTCTGTAGATTCCCGAACTGCAGAGGGGTCAGCCTGGCGTCTGTGGACGGGAGATGCTGGTGTGGAGCGTGCTGAGGGCCCCTGGGGGCAGTGCGGGCCATGGCTGCCAGGGGGGCCCCTGCCCATGCCCGGGGCACCCAAAACTTCTCCTGGGGCGTCACTGGCTTGAGTGTTGTCCAGTGCCCAGGCTGCCCCCTCCCTGCCTCCTCGGGAGCATCCGGCGCCCCCGGGCAGAACCCACAGGCTTGGCTTCCGGCCGTTCCCTGACCCTGCCCCGACCCCAGGTGGCACTCACTATGGGAGTAGAACTCTTGGACCGCCGGGAGCCCGTTGAAGTCCCCGCACAGACCACACGTCTGGTTGGCGTACTTGGGGTCCAGCTCCAGCTGGGAGTAGAGGGGGGCAGCTCCAGCCTCAGCCGGCCAAGCCCTCAGCCCTGCCACCCCTGCCGCCCTCGCCCCCGGGGCTGGGAGGCTGTCCTGGATGGGCAGGGAGGGGCGTGGGGGGGCGCCCTCACCAGGGCACTGCCCTCTCTGTTCCACATGAAAGTCAGCATCAGCCGGACAGTGACCTTGATGTAGACGCTGCTCTGCTCCACCAGCAGGCCCGCGCGGCTGTAGGGCAGCTCCCCCCTGGGGTAGAAAGTCCCGGTCGTCCTGCGGCCAGGGTGTCCAGCAGGGCCCTCCCCCCGAGCCCCGAGCCACGAGCCCCAGAGTCCCGGCCCCTCCCCAGCCCGCGCCAGGCGCACCGCTGCCCATTGATGAGGATGGAGCCGTTGGAGGCCTCCAGCACCAGCCCCTGCGTCTTGAGGATGATGTGGGTGATGGTGGGCCTGGAGCTGGCCAGGCCGCGGCGCAGCTGGATGTTGAAGTCCTCGTAGGCGGTGCCGCAGTGCGCCGAGAAGACGTAGTTGCACAGGCCCGGAAAGCGGAAGACATCGCCGTCGAAGGTCTTGTAGTGGAAGTCGCCCCAGGTGCTACACACGCGCCCGTTGTGCGCGGGGTTCCAGGCTGTGGGGAGAGCGTGCTGGGGCCCCGGCAGATGCCACCAGCCTCGCCCAGCCACCCGCGGGCAGCCGTCCCTGGATTTGGGGTGAGGAGCCAGGAGGGCAGCCGCTCGCCCGTCTCGCTGCCCTGAGCCACCCTGATGCTCCCTGAGAGCCCCGATCCTACCCCAGCGCCCAGGGTCAGCCCCCAGGAGAGCTGGCCCCAGGGAAGGCTCCCGGCCGGGACCAAGGCCATTCAGTCGCCCACAGAGTACCAGCTTTACCCCCCAGATCTGTGAGCCCCCACTCCCACCCCGTCAGCAGTGGGCAGCATCCACTCACAGCTTATGGTGGGCGAGACGGTGATGGGCGGGATGGCGGTCATGCTCCAAGCTGCAGAGGAGGATGGGTCACACTAGAAATGCGGCCAGGCGGGGGACCCCCCCATCCTCCTCACTGGTTGCCCTGGGGCAACAGAGAGGTGCAGGCCACCCTGACCCAGCCCGGTGAGCCCCAGGACTAAGGCTGCCCCTCCCCGGCCCTCCCCATCTGCCCAACACACACTGCTGCCCTGAGTGTGCGTGTGTGAGTACATGTGAGCATTTCAGCCTTTCTGCTCTGTGCCTTAGCTTTCTGGGACCCATGCCCCCTGCCGTCCCTTCTTATGGGCAGGTGGGATCCAGGAGGGTCTCTGTGTGACATGCAGCTGTTGTGGAAATCTGATGTCCAGATCCCCGGCCCTCTGGGAGCCCAGCCCCTCCTGCCTGCAGAGCCTGGGCCACATACCGACGTCCGCCCTCCAACTGTGCGTGGCAGCCTCTGTGCTGGCCTGGCTGGGCTCCACGCTGCCCTGGGTCTCTGCGGGGAAAGGGGACGGGAGTCCGTGAGAAGCCGGACATTCGCCATCCTTCCTGGGCAGGCTTCAGGGGGGCGGCCCCATGAACACTCGACTTGGTGGAAAGCAAGGCTCCGCCGGGATGGGAGGCCTCTGCAGGGAGCCGCAGCTACCCGGTGGCCTTGCGCTGACCCCCACCCACCCCATCCACAGATTCAGGGTGGTGCCTCATCTCCGGGATGGGGCAGCTGGTGCTGCTGGCTCCGGGCAGGAGAATGGAATCAGGAAAAGGCACTGGCCCCGTTGACCCTGGCCACCCCAGAAGAGGGTTCGGCCCCATCCCAGGCAACCCTTGGAGAAAGACAAAGACCGGCTTTGTTGGGGGAGAAAGACTCACGCAGCTGGGGAGGCTTCTGGGCGTGACTTAGCAGAAACCCAAGACCAGAGCCAGATTGGAGTTAGAACCGTCCGTCACGGCGGTGGGAGGCCTGGGGGCCCTGGTGCTGGGGTGGCTGCACCCGGGGGCCTGTGCGCCCACCGCCTCCAGGCAGGGCCTCCTCCGCCAGGCTGACTCCCCCGGTGCCCGGGCCCCCACAAGCCCCTCGCTGCCGTGGTGGGCATAGGGAGCCCTCCCAGGCCCCTCTGCCGAGCTCAGGCTGCGGCACCCCCTTCACATGGCCCTGACCTCCTTCCTGCAGTCCTCTCCACGCTCAGCCCAAATCTGAGCTTCCTGGGGAGTGGGAGGTGGTGGGGCCCCCATGCCCCCATGTCCCTGGTTCAACCAGCTTGGTGAGGGGAACGGTGAGGCCTCTATTCTAGCGGGGACTTCGCACACAGAAACCGCAGGGACTGGCCCCGCATTAAACTCTCCTTCCAAGGGCCCTAGGTGACTGCATTTCCCACAGGCACAGCTGCTCCCTCAGTCCGCCCCTGACCCCAGAGCTGCAGCCCTTCCCGCGTGAGCCTGGCTAGGGCCAGCCACTGGCCGCACCCCACAGTCAGAAGCCAGAGGGTGTCCCAGTGGCAGTTTGCACCCCACACCGCCTCCCCATCCAGGCCCGGTTTCCACAAGAATTGGCTCAACTTGGGGCCCTCCTCAGGCGGGGTCACCCGCCCAGCGAGACCCGGTCTCCATCACCGGGCCTGAGAAATGCCCGCTCCCGACTGTCCCTTCACATCGCGGCTGATAGCGGCCACCCCCCTGACGTGGGGTCCTCCTCTCAGACTGCCTTCACCCACCCCAACGGGATTTGCCCCCCGGAGAGAAGCAGGTGGAGGATGAGGTGGCTCGCTGGCGCGACCCACTCATCAGGCACATGGTCTGAGGCTGGCATGGCCCAGAGGAGCCTGGCAGAGTCGGGCGGAGTGGGGGCTGGCTGCGCAAACCAGCAGACGGGCACCTGAATCGCACAGCAGGCTGGGGGGCCTGGCACCCCCGCTGGGAGTCACTCTGGGGAAGTCCCCCCACTTCTGAGCCCTGCTCAGCCCCCAGGAAAGGTGGCTTGGGGCAGGGTTCTGGGAGACGACTGATGGAGAGAGCCGTGGGCCGGTGTCCACCTGCCCAGGCCCCTGAGGCTGGGCGAGGCACCTCGCTCGGGGAGGCCTCAGGGGAGCAGCGCTCAGGGCCGGGACCTGGCAGGGCGGCCTGCAGTGGCCAGGACTCCAGGCCAGCCCTGCTGGGTGTCACCCAGGCAGCTCCTGAGGCCGTGTCTTTCATGTTGACAGGAGGTATTAGGGCCAGTGGTGCCTCCCCTAGATGCTCAGTGCCACAGGGCGGCCAGGGAGGCGCGGAGGGCTGGGTGGCGGCCTCAGACGGAGCTCCCCTGCAGCTGCATCACCTGTCAGCTGTCCCAACCCTAACCTGAGGAGGAATTCTGGAGCCGCTGTGGGGGCTCCAGGGACCAGAGAGACGCCCAGCCTCAGCTCCCACCCCAACACCCTCTCCCAGGGGAACCAGCTTCTCTGGGTGCAGGCTGAGAGCCTGGGGGCCGCACAGGGGACGCACGGGCAGGGTCCTGCCTGCCGTTCCCAGCAGGAGAACCCCCAGCGAGCGGCCTGCTGGGCCCCTTGCTGCAGAGACAGAGCCGGGGTCTTCGTCCTCACCTGTCTTCTGCACGAGGAGCAGGGCGGCGAGGACCCAGGCCAGCACCAGGCACCCGCTTGGGGCACCCATCCTGGGGGCTGGCACGGCAGCGGGCGGGTGGCTGGGAGGGAGTGGGCCCCAGTGCTCACTCCCTGGGGGCCCTGGGGCTTATATAGCAAGAAGCCTTGGCCCCGTGCCCGGCTCCTGGGCCACGCAGGGCTCTGTCCTTTCCCCCGAGGCAGCCACGTGTGTTTGCTCTCGGGGAGGGGCCGCGGCAGGAAAGACGCCTGGAGGAGGAAGGATTTGCAGCTGTGGGCCCCAGATTCACAGGACCCCTGCCCCCACTCTCCCCCCTCCCCCACCCCTCTGCAGCTTCTGAGAATCAGAGGGAGAGGGGCAGCCACCTGGTGCCCAGAGGGTGGTGCCGGCAGCCCATCCTGGGTGGCAAAGCCCCTGCATGTGGCCACCTGGGCTGCCCTGGGCCGCCCTGGTCGTGTCTCGCTCACTCAGTAGGGAGCTGGTCAGCACGACCCCACACTCAGCCCGCATGTCAAGCCCCTCCCAGGAACCTGGCCAAGGCCTCAGCCATTGGGCAGCCTTGGGCGCTGGCCGGGGGCACTCACCCCTGGTCCCTGGAGTTTCTGCGCAGCTAGGGGGTGGTCAGCCATGTGTTGGCCGGCGGGGTACCTGGGCTGCATGGCTTGTGGGGGTCCTGGGCGGAGGCTCCATGCCCAGAGACCTTAGCCATGCTGACCAGTGCCCCTGCGGATCTCTGGGCTCCTCTCTGTCACCAAGTTCAGATTTGAGGGGAAACTGAGGCCCTGGGAGTGGATACCCAGGCTGGCCCTTGTCTATCGCCTGCCCTGGCCAAGGCCGGACCAGGAGCTCCCAGCATGGCCGGTTTGACCCTCACCTCGCTCCTTAGCTGGCTAGATGACCCGAGGCCGGGTAGCCCAGAGGAACCTGCAGCTCCTCATGGTCTCTGAGCCACCAGAGTCCTCGGCTGACAGCAGGCCATGCAGGGGCCGATGTCTACACGGTGATGTGCTCCTGGGGGCTCCCGGCAGGGCTGACTGGGTCACCTCGGGGGCCTGGGGGTCTCTCAACCCCAGTCCTGCCCTGAGTGCGAGCCACGAAGTCCCAGCTCCCCGGCTGGCATGGCCCGGTTGCGAGGATCACACGGTAACCTTTTCCAGGTCAGTGCTCAGCTCAGCCTCACCGGCTGCCCCCTTCTGACTCACACTCCGGGCATCTTATTCTCTGGCTCTGGCGACAACGCTGGGCACCCTCACCCCAGGCTGAATGTGTCTGAGAGTGGCCCCTGGGGCGGGCCCCAGCTGGGAGGCGCGGGACCCCCTCGGGCAGCTTCGTCATTGCTGGCGCACGCACCTGGGATCGCCCTGCCTTTGTCTTTCTGGGGATTAATTCACAGAAGTGGAATTGCTGGGGCAATGGGAAAACCATCTCCAAAGCTTCCACGAAGCGTTTCGCCGCGGTCACACCTCTGCTTGGCTGACGGGCCCTCAGGCCGTGCGTGTCTGCAGGCCCGGGGTCCGCTGGCTCCTGGCGTCTTTAGAGCAGGGTGCCCCCACCTAGGAGCCGGCCCCTGCTCCCTGGCATCGGAGCTCCCACAGACGGGCCTGAAGTGCTGCCCACTTGCATCCACGGCCCTGCAAACCTCCAGGCCTCCCTCGCTGCTTCCCTGAGGGCTCCGATTCTCCCTCTGTGCCCCACTGGGCGCCCAGCCACGCCCAGGCACCTGCCCCGCTGGCCCATCCCTCAGCCGCCCGACACAGCAAGCACCCTGCAGCCTTCAGAGGGCCCCACCAGCCGCCCCCCAACCCCTGCACATGTGAGCCTTGGACTCAGGACCTGAATGGAAGTTATTCGGGGCTTCGAGTTGGCCGTCTATCCCTCCCCGCCCCCACCTCGGAAGGAGAGCTTCATGCGGGTAGGGGCCTTGCCCACAGTCCACAGCTTCCACACAGTAAGCACTCAAGGGACCTGGCGTGGCCCCTCCCCGTGAGCACTGTCCTCTGGGCAGAGACGGGTGGAGGCCCTGCGGGGACACAGCTATTGAGACATCCCGGATGCGGCTCAGGAGCCTGTTTGCTCAGCCAGTTTACCGCTTCACACTTGACGGAGCTGAGGACAGAGATGAAGGGAAGGAAGGAGAGCAGGCTGCCGGGAAGGAGCCGCCTCCTGGAGCTCGGGAGGGCTCCGCCAGGGACTGTGCCAGGAGCCTGTCGCGCCCTGGGTCCACCCCCCTCCTCACTCAGCCCGCAGACCCAGGGGCTGCACGGAGCCCAGAGGCAGACTGCCCCCGCCCCTTAAGGGCTTGGTGGGTGTGCAGGGGTCTTCAGCAACCCCGGGGCCCTTCTGAGCTCACCCCTCCCCGCATTCCTGCATCCCAGCAGGAGGATGCGCAGACCGACGAGGACCAGGCTCCCAGGATGCACCAGGACTCAGGCCTTTATTGAGTGTGGCTGGTCTGCCCAGCTTCACCTCGGGCACCATGGAGGGTGCAGGAGGGTTGGGGTGCGGCCCTGGGGGGCACAGGCATGGCTGGCTCTGGGTCTGCTCAGAATGCGCCCCGGACCATCACGGGGATGGTGCTTTTCACACCTGCCGCCTTCTGCCCCCCAGATGGCTGATCCTGGCAGCCCTGGTCTACACCCTGGGGCTCATGCTCCCCATGGCCAAGAGGCCCAGTGGTGTGACTGAGGCTAGCCTGACAGTGCAGGCCAGGTGACCCCGGTGGGGAGGGTGGTCCAGGCAGGGAAGCATCCCGGGTGACATGTGGGTGACAGGCCAATTTCTCCTGGCTTTGGGATGGCAGGGCTTCATTCCTGCCCCTAACCCAGTCAGGGTGTTTCCAGCGTGACTCAGGGGACAAGCCTGGTCCAAAAGAAACAGGTGGAGGATGCACTGGGACATCATGGCCCCTGAGGCCCCCAGCTTGTCCATCGACAGACATTCCTGAGCACCTCTGCCCCATGCCGGGCATTTGGGATGCAGAGAGGGGTCCTTGACCACCCCCCTGGAGGGGGCAAGTCACCCTGGGGGGCGGTGCATGAGGCTGTGCTGGGGGCTGGGCCCAGGAGCCACCCCCACTGTGAGAAGGGCCATGCCCATTCCTCCCACCCTGCCCCCCGGGCTGTGAGCATGTAGAGAGCCTCCCAGGACACCCTGTGCCCCAGGCGGAGGCCACGAGTCCCCCCAGCCTCTTGTACTTTTTCCTGCTCTTCACACAGATCCGTTTCCTTGCCTTTGTCTTCTGCCCCTGTGTCCCTCCTTCCTTCTAGCAAATTCTGAGCCCCAGGGTGGGGCTGCCCTGGGCCCTGGGAATGCAACTTGGACAAGGAGAGTGAAGGTCCTGCCCCATGGAGCTCACAATACGCAGGGCCATCTGGGGCCGCAAGAGGAACTTTGGAGGGACGGAGAGAGTGATAGCTCTGCGGGGGGCATGGGGGGTTTGCAACCTTCACCGCCGTCCGTCCGGATCACCTTTAATCTTTCCAAAAAGAGACTCCATCCATTAGAGACTCCTTGGGCCCTGGTGCCCACCCTCCCCTCTCCGTCTCCAGACTGGATGGCCCCAGGGACCATAGGAGCGGGGTCATGCAGTGCCTGCCCCTCAGGTCTGGCTTATCCGCTCAGCATCAGTCTGTGAGGGGTGGCGGCAGGTGTCAGAATGCCCTCCCTTTCTTAGGCTCAGGGGTATCTCACTGGGTGACTACACCAGATCTCGTTTCCCGTGTCACCTGTTGATGGACGCGGGGTTGTTTCCAGCCGTTGGCTGCCATGAACACGGGAGTGCAAGTATCTGCCCGAGTCCCTGCTTGCAGTTTCTTTGGGGATGGACCCAGGAGTGGACTTGCTGAATCACATCCTAATTCTGTGCTTAACTTTCTAGGGAATTCCACAATAGGGGCAGCATTTTACATTCCCACCAGAAGGGCACCAAGGGCAGGGCTCCGGTGAAGAACACTCTCCCCTGGGGCGCAGACTGCCAACTTCTTGCAAAACCGACAAGGGGTCAGGGGCCTCTGCGGGGGCTCTTTCCCGATGGCACTGACCCCATCCGTGCGGGCCCCACCCTCATGACCCAGTCACCTCCCAGAGCCCCCATCACCTCTTGTGGTGAGGACTTCAACATATGGATTTGGGGAGATCATATTCAGACCCCAGGAAGCTTAGAGTTTTCTAAACCTAAGACTAAACTCTAAACACTCTAAACAGTATTTAGAGTTTTCTACACCTAAGACCATGTCATCTGTGACATCCTTTCCAACCCAGGCCGTGGCACCTTGTATTTCTTTTACTTGCCTGATTGCTTTGGCCTGAATTTCCAGCACTCTGCTGAATAGGAGTGTTGAGAGTGGGTGTCATTGTCTTATTCCCCATCTTAGAGGAATAAGAGGAAAAGCTCTCATCTTTCACCGCCGGGGACAACATCAGGAGTGGGCTTGTCATATGTCACTTTTACTATGACAGAGTGTCCTTCTAATCCTAGCTGGTTGGCTGTTTTTATCATGAAAGGGTGTTGAATTCTGGCAGATTCTATTCCTGCCTCCATTGAGACGGCCATGTGCCCCCCCCAGTCTATTAATGGGGTGACTGTTTGATTCGTGTGTGCGGAGCTGTTCCCGCGCTCTAGGAGTACGACCCACTTGGTCGTGGTGAATAATTTTCTCATGAGCTTCTGAATTGGTTTGCTGGTATTTTGTTGAGGACTGCCGCACCCGTGTTCATGGCAGATATGGGTCTATGTGCGGCTCCGGTGTCGGGGGATCGCTGGCCTCACAGAGCCAGGCAGGAGCAGGTCCGTCCTCTGTGGTGTTTTGGAGGACTTTGGGAAGTTTCAGTGCTGGTTCTTCTCTAAACATGCGGTAGACCGCACCCGTGAGGCCTTCTTGTCCCGAGATTTTCTTTGTGGGGAGGGCTGTGACTGCCAATCCCCCTCCACGCTAGCGGCACGTCTGTCTGGTTCATTGATCTCTTCCAGTTTATCAAACCTGATAAAATTGTGCGCGGGACTCTTTAAGATCACATTTATTTCTGATCAGTAGCAACATCCCTTCTGTTTTCAACTTGG